TCCACTGACAAGACGCCAGGGAGCACCGCCGCGCTACCCACACCCGCGGCCGCGCGGCGCACGCGGAAGTACGTCATGCGTCCTCGAGCCGGACGCGAGGGCCGCGGAGAAGACTACATCTCCCAGAGTCCTCTGCGGAGGCGGCTCCCGTTCCGACCGGCTTCCGGAGGAGGCGGGAGTGGGGAGAGGGGCGGAACCTAACGGGAACGGCGGCGGGCGGGCGGCGGAGAGCCCCGGGTCCGTTCGCCGGGGCACCGCTCTGCCAGCTTCCGCACGGCCCACGCAGCCCGGGAGCAGTGCGGCCTCGGTGGAGGGACAGGCGTGCTCAAGAGTTGATGTGAAACAAGAGAGTTCAGACCGTAGCAGAGGGACCTGCGAGGCAACGGGCTGCAGCTCCCAGGGTAACAAAACAGCCTCGATCATCGGTGCGCCAAGTAATGCAGCCGCCAGCTTCATAAACGAGAAGCTGCGGTAGATGAGAGAACTACACAGCCGCCGGCAATGGACATGAACATGCCCTCGCCCAGCACCGACACGCGATCCGCTCTCCTAGCAATCCAATAAAACTATAAATTAACAGCATAATTTTAACAGGCCTTTCCGTCCGAGAATCTTTTTTTAAAAAGTTTTCTACTCAACAAATAGTGAATGAAATTGGAAAATACAAACAAAACTGCAAACAAGAGTATATAAGAATTTATGGGAGAAACAAAGCAATGAAGACATGAAATTTCATAATCTTGAGTAATTATAACAGCAAAAACAAAACACGTATATTAATTCTCAAAAAGTCATTAAAGAACAACAAAGTAAGCCAAAGGAGAAAGCAAAGCAAATTTAAAGATAAAAGCAAACAACTAGACAAAATTAGCAAGAACAGAAAAGATTCAAATAATACTACGAATCCACTCAAAGCAATTGACAGAGAACACGCTACTAAAAGACAATATGGGTAATTTTTATGTGCACATGGGACATTCTCCAGGACAGAGTCTATGGTGGACCACAATAAATTTAAAAGGACTGAAATCATACGTTTTCTGACAAGAGTGGAATTAAAATAGAAATCAACCCCAGAAATAAATGCAATAAATCTCCAGATATTTGGAAATTAAAAACCACACTTTTAAGTAAGCCCCTTAACTCAAAGACGAAATCACAAGGGAAATTAGAAAATACTTTGAGCTGAATTAAAATGAAAATGCATATATAAGGATCATATACTACTTGTCTTTCTCTGCCGGAATCACTTCCCCTTAGCATAATGTCTCATTTTCCCCGTTTTTGATAAAAATTTATAGTATTTTAAATGTTCTTTTTAAAAACTGGATTTTTAAAGGTTACTTTTTCCTATTTTGATTCCTTAATTTGTTTCTATATTCATTGTTTCTCTTTCCATAATTGCATTTAATTTCTCCCTAAAATTCCTTTTTATTTATTTTCATTCTTTTTATTAGTACTGTTGGATTGGATGAAGTAAAACTTACCTACATTACTTTAACTTTATGAATTAATCTATGATCAAAAATTAAAAGGACAGAGACGTTCCCTCCTGGGGACACATTTATGTTGGCTCACACGCTTTTTTAAAAATGCATTTTAAATTGTTTTTTTTTTTTTCTTTTAAAGAGAGAGGAAGGGATGGGGGTGGGCTGGAGAGAAACATTGACCTGAGAGCGAAACCTTGATGGTCTGCCTCCCCTACACACCCGACCAGGGACCAAGTCCGCAGCCTGGGCCGGGGACGGGTGCCCGGCCAGCGCCCGACCAGCTGGGCCGCACCGGCCAGGCGGCTCGCACTCGGCTGGAGCCGCGCCACCGGTTTCCCCCATCTCTGAACCTAACATCCCGGGCAGCAGCAGGCGGCCTTCAAACCTCGAGCCCGTGAATCCCGCGAGGCACGCCGCAGAGCGCTCTGGGAAGTGTAGTTCCGGAGCAAGCGGCACTCCGGGAAATGTAGTTCTGCGCAGACACTTCCGCCCTCGGTTGGCGCCGGCGCGGTGCGGCGGCCCCAAGTTGTAAGGCTGTGTGTGGGGCCGCGGCGGGACGCTGAGGTTGCCGGCCCCCGTGACCGCCCAGTCCCTCGGCGACCCTGGCGGGCGCGAACCGACGCCGGAGCCGGTGCCAGG